TTAAGGTGAGAAAGTAAGTAAGAATCTCCAAGAACAGCACAAAAAGAGGACTTTATGTATGTTCTTAAAGTATTAAGGGAGTTTACATTTTTCTCTGGAGCATGTCATAATATCCCAGTTATCTCAAGAAAACAACAAGATTTCTCAGCTGGATAAACAACAAATCAGAATGAGCTTTATTGGCTATGTTTGTGTAAACATATAAGGGATTTGACTTTGGTTAACTTTGCTGTCAGCATGACGAGCATTACAAATGAAATGTTGAACTATCAAGCTCATAAAGCATACACAGAACAATAGTTCAGTGGTGAGGAGTAAAAAATGCTGTACTCATAGACTGCAAATATTAAAGGATGAAGCTTGAGTGACGTCAGACACCTGTTCCTGCAGGGGGCGCTGGAGGCTCATCTGCAGCAGCCCCCATGCTGGAAATGCTGTCTCAGTCTAACTTTCAGTCAACCTAATGACAGGCTGAGAGCTGGAGCTGAGGCGGGTTTTAAGCTTCTTGACAAACCATTACATGGCGCCCACCTGTCAATCATGTCAGCTACACGCCTAACTATGGATAACAAGTATCGTTTTCAAAATCAAAACAGAGCCGTTATTTGTACCAGGCTTTAAACATGTCAATTTATAATGCGAAAAAGTATTTTTTGCCTGTTGTGTGTATGTGACTTCCTGTGTTCCTGGAGTCAGCCTCTAGTGATGAACTGCAGGATTTTGCACTTCCGCATTGTCTTCATTTTTCAACACTGGATGTGGCTGCTTTACTGTAATAAACAACAAAAATGTAGCAGCTTTCCCCATGTACGCATTCAAATAAACCACCCATTTCTAATATCGTTGTATAGGCTAAAACAGGTTGTCTTTGTCATTTAACACCACAGGTGGTCCTTCGCTACAAGCTGAACTTCCACTCTTGCGTTCATTCAGGCTCGTGGACCTGCTTCTTAGGGGACTGTGGGACTCAGAGCGTAGAGCTACACAAGGTGGAGGAGAGCAGCGGAGAGTGGTGTCAGAGAGAGGGGGTAATGACCCGACAGGTTCCCAGCAACGCTCCTTTTTACCTGGAGTGAGTGATCAGTCAGAGTATTACACTACTTTACACTTTTATAACCTAAGATAGAGAATGTCAATAGTATAACAGTCCAAAATCTCAATGAATTCACAGATTAATTCTCCAACATTTTCTGAACATTGCAAAGATTTAGTAACAGATTTCACATAAGGAGTTGAAAAGTAAAAGGTTTACACATCTTCAGTACTTATCTACATCTTCCCCATGGGTTTCCACAACAGGTTAAGTGGGGGTAACTGGATAAATGACGTCGTAAATGACATCTTGTTATGGGAAGCTCTGACTCTGGTGGAGCTGAGGAACAGGTCTGACACCAACGAGGCCAACAGATCACCCCAGACCACCATCCTGCCCGCTTTGAGGTAAGAAAACACACCCATTGTGTTTCTACTTCTAGTTCTTTTTACTTCTCAATTCGGAGCCACACTGTGGATTCAGTACATTACCAGCAATTTCAGTGCCTTATAAATCTGACAGGACTGAAAACTCTGCGTATACACATGAAAAGGAGGATATCAGGTGCTTGTTTTCTGACTGTAATGTCTTTGTCTGAAGTGGACAAATCTGAATTATCTTTTTTCTCAGAGTTCCTTCAAACTGTCAGAGAGATTTCTACCTGTTGGCGTTCGATCCCGATGGAGACAAGGTTAAATGCAGATATGGAAACACATCACTGTCAGAGTGTAACCCCTGCACACCACCATCTGTTCTCAAACTCTCAACTGTGAGTGGCAATGGTCCACAGAAACTTTTAATTAAGTTTAATTTAGCATTTTAGTTTCAGTGTGAACATAAAAACCAAGAGAACAAGCCAAGAAGCCAATATGAAACTATGGTTGTGTCTGTCATAAACTGGATTAATGGAAAAGAAAGAGTGGGGTTGTTTTTCTAAAATACCTAATACCCAAAATTCCAATCCAAGTTATTTCACTTTCTGACAGACACCTTGTGTCTCCTTTGTAGTCCTGCACTCTGTCGTTCAGCCCCACAGACAGCAGCGATGAAGGTCCTTACGTCGTCCAGCTGGTGTTGGAGGACATTCCCCAACAGAATATCATCCTGACTCACACAAACGGCTCTAAGGAGTTGAAAACTAGCAACGACCCGATCAGTAAACTACCACTACAGTTTGTTTTAAGAGGTAAGACTTGATGTTCTGGCATCACAAAGATATTAAGCTACAGTGGAGTTCAAGTTCCACTGATCTTCAGTGAGGGATTTGGTTTTTCAGGAATGTTATCGAAGCTATTCTGCAAAGTAATCAACATGACAATTAACATTTTTGTGGAATAATACTCACAACGTTTATAACATTGGAAGGCACCAAAATGGTGCCACTACTTGGTCTACTAAGGTGAGGGTTAAGAATTTGAATAGGAAATATCTAATGTAAGTATATGAAAAGAAGTGTTTCACACCAAACAGACATTTGATACTAGACTCAAGTCAAAACTGGTGCCAATACACATTGGGGCGCTGGAATAACTCAGTTGGTAGAGTACCGATCCCAATATACAGAGTTGAATTCCTCACCATGTATAACCCAAGTTAGAATCAACTACATCTATTTCCCTGTTTCCCTTCAATTGCTCTATCAAGGAGATGCCAGAAAACTCATCTTCAACAAATGACTTTCATGATGTCATGAATCTTGTTGGGACCACTGGTGACAAAAACATTAAATGTGGATCTCCGCAGAGTTTACAAGTCATTGTCTTGAACCATGAATGTTTGTACCAAACTTTGGTCTAATCTAAGTACATGTCAAGAGGTAAAGAGGCAAAGTGGCCAGACTGGAAAAACCGACTGGAATTGTCATATTTAGAAAACTTCAGCTTGACACCCACCATACCGCGCCCCTGTTGGTGTAGTAATGGAGAACAATACAATGAGTTGTTCTGGAATTATTGCCCAGACAATGTTCAATGAATGTCTGATGTCTGACACTTAACACCTGCGTGAACTCATCATGGTCTGAGAGGAAATCTGACAAGCAGACTTCTGATTAGCTGGCTCTGCAATTGCGAAACCCCAGACTCACTTGAGGTTACCCTCGAGGACCAAACGAAAAAAGTTTCTGATCTTTGAAGGCGATCCTTTGCACAGTGTTTTTAATGGACAGCTCCTTCAGTGAGCGAAGTCTGGTGATGCCTCTGTGGTATACTGAACGACTTAGAAGGTTCTTTGTTCCAGAAAAAGTCAGATATTTTAATTTTAAGTTGTGGCCCTGATTCATGGATGAAAAGACTGGTTGATGGTTTCAATGGTTTTTTTTATTTAATAACTTGACCAGGTGGCAAATGAGATTCTCCACTGGGGATTCAAGAAAATTTCTAATCTAATCTAAATTAGTGCTTTTCATTTTGTTCCAGTGGATGGTAAGGTGCCGTCCTGCACCGAGGGACTCTATCTGCCTAAATTTCTGCCTCCCACTCCAGCAAATAGAGCTCAGCTGAACACCCCCGTCAATCAAACGATTCACATCCCCATCAGTGCAGAGGCAAACACTTCCAAGTATGTCAAAAAATGAAGACATTTATAAGAGAAAATAAATCAAAATACTGTATAGTGCTGTTGGCAGATTTGCACTTAAAGATGAAGTAAGATAACACTGTATTGTTAGTTCACACGGAAAACTGCAATAATCATCAGAATAACTAGTACAGGAACATCCAGAACATGAACACTATCAAAAAAGTAAGTTGTAGACTACCTTTGTACCTTTAATTTCTAAAAAATATGAAAACTTCCCAAACTCCTACCTGTTCTATGTTATAACCTGTTAACAAATTGTTGCAGAAATGAAAGAGTTTTTTGAGGCTGGTACTAGTTTGACCAGTATTACCAACGACAACCAAAGGAATTATAGGCACATTTGACTCACCCATTTCCAGCTAACTCACAACAACCAAAGTTCCAGCTAACTCACAACAACCACAATCAAGGAAACAGCATTAAAAAAATAGCTGAGTCAGATATCAGGTTACGGTGAAATTCCAACCATGTTCACAACAACAAAAATATTTTTGCTCCATTTTTGGACAAAACATTTTCAAATACTTATCTGACAGCTTGTCAAACCTTTCCTTTTTCTGTTGTGCTGAAGGATTTCTGAGCTGCTGTTCAGCGGGCCATACGACATTGACAATATCACAATAGAAGTGGGACAGTTCATCCTGAAATGGACACCGTCTGAGAGAGAGGATGGAGAAAGCCACCCCATCTGCTTTGTAGTGCAGGCAAATTCTGGGTGGGTCACTCTGACATACATGATTTACCGTTAGCAAAATACAAGGTAAACTGTAGATATATCTTTTACTTAGTACTGTAAATGCAATAACTTGTAAAATCATTTTCTAAACAAGCTTCCGCATTCAATTCCACAGTTCAAGGAAGTATCACTCAGATCTAAGATGTGTCATTGTTACTGTTGGAAACTGTAAGTAGAAACCTGCCTTGTTCTTTTGTGTGTTTAAATTTTTGATTTCCGCCATTCCAAAGTTCAGATAAAATCTATTTTCATGTTCACTTGTGTTTACAGACCAAGCAATCGTAACTTCAAGTCCAACAGTCGCTAAAACAACCACAGAGAATACAACCAACATTCCCTCAGCAACTACCACTCCAACCACAACCACAACCACACCAGCTATAACCAACTCTACGAATGCATCAATACAAAATGCAACATCACCACTAAATCTCACCACTACTACACCAACAACCATGCAGAGTACAACTTCTTTGACTACTTCCACAGCGACAAATACAACACTCAGTCCAACTACTGTTCCTTCAGCAATAACCACTCAAACTACAGCTAGCACTACACCGTCTACAACACAAGCTACAACCAATACTCCGTCCACAGCAATACAAGATACCACATCACAGTTTCATTCTACCACTGCTGCACCAACAACAACCATGCAGAATACCACAGCTACCAGTACAACACTCAGTCCAACTACTGTTCCTTCAACAATAACCACTCAAACTACAGCTAGCACTACACCGTCTACAACACAAGCTACAACCAATACTCCGTCCACAGCAATACAAGATACCACATCACAGCTTCATTCCACCACTGCTGCACCAACAACAACCATGCAGAATACCACAGCTACCAGTACAACACTCAGTCCAACTACTGTTCCTTCAACAATAACCACTCAAACTACAGCTAGCACTACACCGTCTACAACACAAGCTACAACCAATACTCTGTCCACAGCAATACAAGATACCACATCACAGCTTCATTCTACCACTGCTGCACCAACAACAACCATGCAGAATACCACTACTATTACCACAGCTACCAGTACAACACTCAGTCCAACTACTGTTCCTTCAACAATAACCACTCGAACTACAGCTAGCACTACACCGTCTACAACACAAGCTACAACCAATACTCCGTCCACAGCAATACAAGATACCACATCACAGCTTCATTCTACCATTGCTGCACCAACAACAACCATGCAGAATACCACTACTACAACCACAGCTACCAGTACAACACTCAGTCCAACTACTGTTCCTTCAACAATAACCACTCAAACTACAGCTAGCACTACACCGTCTACAACACAAGCTACAACCAATACTCCGTCCACAGCAATACAAGATACCACATCACAGCTTCATTCCACCACTGCTGCACCAACAACAACCATGCAGAATACCACAGCTACCAGTACAACACTCAGTCCAACTACTGTTCCTTCAACAATAACCACTCAAACTACAGCTAGCACTACACCGTCTACAACACAAGCTACAACCAATTCTCCGTCCACAGCAATACAAGATACCACATCACAGCTTCATTCCACCACTGCTGCACCAACAACAACCATGCAGAATACCACTACTATTACCACAGCTACCAGTACAACACTCAGTCCAACTACTGTTCCTTCAACAATAACCACTCGAACTACAGCTAGCACTACACCGTCTACAACACAAGCTACAACCAATACTCCGTCCACAGCAATACAAGATACCACATCACAGCTTCATTCTACCATTGCTGCACCAACAACAACCATGCAGAATACCACTACTACAACCACAGCTACCAGTACAACACTCAGTCCAACTACTGTTCCTTCAACAATAACCACTCAAACTACAGCTAGCACTACACCGTCTACAACACAAGCTACAACCAATACTCCGTCCACAGCAATACAAGATACCACATCACAGCTTCATTCCACCACTGCTGCACCAACAACAACCATGCAGAATACCACAGCTACCAGTACAACATTCAGTCCAACTACTGTTCCTTCAACAATAACCACTCAAACTACAGCTAGCACTACACCGTCTACAACACAAGCTACAACCAATTCTCCGTCCACAGCAATACAAGATACCACATCACAGCTTCATTCCACCACTGCTGCACCAACAACAACCATGCAGAATACCACTACTATTACCACAGCTACCAGTACAACACTCAGTCCAACTACTGTTCCTTCAACAATAACCACTCAAACTACAGCTAGTACTACACCGTCTACAACACAAGCTACAACCAATACTCTGTCCACAGCAATACAAGATACCACATCACAGCTTCATTCTACCACTGCTGCACCAACAACAACCATGCAGAATACCACTACTATTACCACAGCTACCAGTACAACACTCAGTCCAACTACTGTTCCTTCAACAATAACCACTCAAACTACAGCTAGCACTACACCGTCTACAACACAAGCTACAACCAATACTCCGTCCACAGCAATACAAGATACCACATCACAGCTTCATTCCACCACTGCTGCACCAACAACAACCATGCAGAATACCACAGCTACCAGTACAACACTCAGTCCAACTACTGTTCCTTCAACAATAACCACTCAAACTACAGCTAGCACTACACCGTCTACAACACAAGCTACAACCAATACTCCGTCCACAGCAATACAAGATACCACATCACAGCTTCATTCCACCACTGCTGCACCAACAACAACCATGCAGAATACCACAGCTACCAGTACAACACTCAGTCCAACTACTGTTCCTTCAACAATAACCACTCAAACTACAGCTAGCACTACACCGTCTACAACACAAGCTACAACCAATTCTCCGTCCACAGCAATACAAGATACCACATCACAGCTTCATTCCACCACTGCTGCACCAACAACAACCATGCAGAATACCACTACTATTACCACAGCTACCAGTACAACACTCAGTCCAACTACTGTTCCTTCAACAATAACCACTCGAACTACAGCTAGCACTACACCGTCTACAACACAAGCTACAACCAATACTCCGTCCACAGCAATACAAGATACCACATCACAGCTTCATTCTACCACTGCTGCACCAACAACAACCATGCAGAATACCACTACTACTACCACAGCTACCAGTACAACACTCAGTCCAACTACTGTTCCTTCAACAATAACCACTCAAACTACAGCTAGCACTACACCGTCTACAACACAAGCTACAACCAATTCTCCGTCCACAGCAATACAAGATACCACATCACAGCTTCTTTCCACCACTGCTGCACCAACAACAACCATGCAGAATACCACAGCTACCAGTGCAAGACTCAGTCCAACTACTGTTCCTTCGTCAACCAGTAAAATTGCAAGTCCACCACCAGATACTACAACTGAGGGAATAACAACCTTGCCGACAAGTACAACCAAAGACTCAAACCAAAGTGAGTATTATCTACGTTAAACGTTTTCCCCAATATGATCATGTTTTTGGAAATAAACAAAGCAATTCGGTCTCACAGAAGTACATGAAATGATCAAGACTGCGTCATACCAAATTATGGTGTTGTCATTTGTTAAAGTATGCATCAGTACTACAGAAACAACTGCAATGGTAGGTATACAAGGATCTTATGTCTTCATCAACACAGTGTTTTAGAAGTAGTAGTTAGGCTGTGCAGAGAGTAAAAATGTCAGCTTGGGTGGGTTGTTGAGGAGAATGGATAGGTCGAACACAAAAGACTTTCAGCCAGGAGACCAGGGTACAATCCCTTAGTGGACTTAAAGTCAACTTTGGCTCATATATTCCCAACATGCACTTTATAAAGTTATGTACCTCACAAATGTGTGTTACTGTCCTGATTTAAGAAGTCATTTTTACTCAAACATCAATCCTTAACTGCGTTGTAATGTTGCTTCTCTTCACCACTAGTTGTTGCAGTTTGGAGAATGAAGATTTCCTCATCATCTCCACTGTCTGATGAACACATCAGGAACACTGTCATCCAACAGGTCAGTGTCCTCTTAAGCAATATCTAATCAAATGGGTACACAATTTGTTTTTGTTGAAAAAATTATCAAAGTTTGTACTTCATTTTGCCATTATGGAATACTGCTTTGAATAATACATTCCTTAACATGCTACTTTTACAACGATTACAGATGAGTCAGAATCCCAACGCTAACAGCTGGGTTTGCACTGAGGCATAAAGAGCAGATAAATGTTGCTACTGTACATGTGCTTCGGAACAACATGTCGGAATACCACTGATTCTTTTTCATCTACAGATCAAAGATGAACTGGTGAGTCGAGGGATGCCATCAGACATCACTTTACGTCTTTTGAGCAGTGTGAGACTGGAGCCTACATCAGCGCCCCCTGCTGACATAACCTGAAAAATTTATTTTCTGCCACCTTTCAAATTGAAAACTGAAGGAGAAATACTTTTTTTTCAAACCAAGGGGAAATTTTACTTTTATCACTCATTTGTTGAGATACTTACAGGCCAAAATACACACTCATAAACAAACAGGATCATATGGACATGTATTGATGGAGATATGTCAGATTGAGGAGTTGCACACAAAAGGGTGTTCAAGGAGTTAGGGGTTTGATGCCTTGCTCAGTGGTACTTTTAGCAGTGCCCAGCTAGTCAACTTGCATATCTCCAGCTACCAGCCCAATTTCCGCAATGGGTCCCAGGTCCTTTCAAACTGAGCCACTGCCACCCTCAAGGTATCCACTGACAGGATTCTTTCACTGGCAGAAACTGTGAACGAATTTTCCAAATTGCTCCATTATTTTAAACATTTAAACACGTTTAACGTTTGAAGTCTGTGTGCACAGTATGAGTGTGGTTCTAAGGATGTGTTAAGTTAAGACTGTTTTGATGTAAAACCATGCAGGTCCATGTTTTACAAAATCAAATTAAAAGTGTTTTTGTTGTATTTGGTTTTATGGCTTATATACTGTATGTAATGGTTCTGATGGTATGTTGCACTTCCTGTCAGCACCTGTGTTGGATTGTTAAAGCTGTTCATTTGCATTTGCTGAGGCAGCTTCCTCCTCTCTAGATCATTGCTTGTGTTCTTACTTTCTGATGTTCATAGCTTTGGATCAAATCTACTTCTTAATGAATTGTTGAATTGTAGTTGAATTGTATTTGTAATATACTTTAGACACTATGACCTTCTTTTAGCAGAGACGCATCATTCAAGAACTACAACATGTTTTATGGGGCCTGATGCCAACAAACAAGTGCAAGTGACGAGTTGACTTAAAACGCATTTCTAATAGAAATAGAAAATGACCTTCGGAGAAGACTTTGGCATAAGCAACAGTGTTATTTGGATTCAACAATTTAAAGGTGGAAAAATCAATGTGTGTGGCGATTATATTTTTATTTATTTTGTATTTAAATGCTGTATTTTAGCTAAAAAAATGTGAAGAAAGGGTAATGATGGAGTTCTTTATATGAATGGCACTCTGTAAATAAACTTGCCTTGCCTTTAATCATGGTGTTAACACTTGGGAACTCAGGGAAACTTGAGATACCATCAGACTCCAGTCTCTGAGTTTTGTAAGAAGCGTGTGTGACTGGAAGCTGCAAGCACAGTGACCCCCTCTGGTTCAACAAGCCACTAGGTCCATTTAGAGGAACTTCTTATCTTCATCAACATATGGGGTTAGTGTGGGCAATGTGGATTTTTTTAATGTTTAAATTTCCAAAGTTTGATTTCATACCACATATGAACCTTTACTGTGGTTACTATTATCTTCAGGCTTGGAATTAGAAAGTTAGAGTTATTTCTCATTTTATTATCAGATTTCTAAATGTGAAATAAAATAATTTTTTAATGCACTTAATTTACCAAAAGTTGCATTAAGTCAACACATGTGGTACCTCGTTAAATTTTCTTGAGTGGATATTTTGTTCACTGTACAAGTCTGTAATTATGGGCCTCATTCACCAACCAGCATGAAGTAAAACCGTAAAATCCTGAGGCTGTGATGGACCGATTTTTTTGTGGAAAGACTCGAGATTGTTCAGATATTAAAGAGGAAAGATAATAATATGTTTGGGTGTTAATCAAGCACAGAACATAATCTTTGAAAAAAAGACAAAAGGAACCAGCGCAGATTAAAAGACATCTGTTTTTACTTCCAGTTGAACGAGCAGCGCAGCATGTCATTAGGAATAATACACAGGTCACGGTTTCAAGATAGTAACAATAAATTGAAACATCAGTCAGTTGTAAACTTGTTCATCATGATGCAACATGATATTGAACTCTTTATTGGTTTTGCTTTAAAGGGCGTGAAGCCAACTCTTTTTTAACCGACCAGCCAACAAATACATGGTTTTACCAGCTAAATCCATTTCTCGGGCACGGACGAGTAACTCTTTTAAATACTAACTTTTCAACAGTAAAGAGTAATAAGTTACCTCTTTGGAACATCAATACTTATTCTTTGTTTGCCCATTTTTGACGTCAATCAAATGTACAGTTTTTGGATTGCAGAACTGAATTGTTTGGCTGGTGGCTAAGTGTTAATTTCAGGCCCCCTTTCTTTTCTCCACACAATCCTTCCCGCTGTCAAGTAAAACAGCAAATGGGGTGCGCTTGCTTTGTTTCAGTCAACAAGAGTCATTTTTGTTGGATTTTACCAAATTAGTCCGACAAATCAATATGGATGAACCAAAACAAGAGCACCCAGATGTTCAACATTGGTACATTGAAAAAAACAAAACAAAACAACAGATCAACTGCATTTTCAACAGAGTCAAACAAGCAAGCCAGTACCCTGAATAGTTAACACAAATCTGAAAAAATATTTACAGTTTCAAATGTTTTCAGGTGCTCAACAAGGTACAGGTGCACTTTATTTGGAGCCGATCGGAGTGATGATGGAAGTTTTTCAGATTCGACAGACGAGGCGAGAGAACCAAATCGTCTCTTTCTTTGTTGAACTTTGACCAATAAAAGTCTAATTCAAGGTGACAAAGAATCTTTTGCACCATACGATTCAGAAAAAAACATTTCAAACCTTGTTTTTGTTTTTAACCAGATCTTCATAGAAAACACACAAAAAATGCTCTGAGTTTCAGTAACGTTCCCTTCATTAGAACTGCACGTAGTTGTTATAAAAGTTGAACCGTCCTATAAACAGCTAACAACATCAAACCTGGGCAAGGAAATTGTACCTGCCTGAAAAAATAGTGTCTGGATACAAATTAGCGTTGATTATGAGAACACACTGATCACGCTTTCGAGCTTCCATCCCCTTTCATAGTTTCAAACACTGAAACAGAAATAAGGCAGCTACTACTTTGGAGGATGGTTCCTTCATTGTCATGATGTTTTTTACACACCCAAGGATTAAATGTAATCACACCATGAGCTTTACCATTTGTAAAATAACCAGATGACCCATGAGCAAGCGATTAACTATGTTGCTTGTTACCTGTCCAAACAAAATCGTCAATGCTTCCTGGGGCCCGTTTTCAGAAAGAAGGTTCAACAAACTCTCAGTGTAACACCGAGCTCTGAGTCGATTTAACCTAAGGTGGGAAACTCTGAGTTTCTGGTACCAGAACAGCTGATTTAAGTTTATTAAATCAAATCTGAGGAGGTTCACTCCAGCGTGCATCATGACTATGAAAAGCCAACATTAATGGAGCCCCGATACTAAGATTCACCTTGGCTTGAGTGACCTCTCTTTCTGAAACAGGAAACCCAGAGTTTCCCTCAATTCAGGGTTAACAGACTCAGTGTTTGCACTACACCTGCTGTGTGAAACTGGCCCCTGGTGTCCCTGTTTGTAAACTCCGGGAGAGAAGCCGTTGGTCCCGTCGTGCTGCTCGGATAGCAGCGGCGACCGTTCCCCGTCCGACATCACTCCCAACGGACCCCGGGCCTTTTTCTGTATTTTAAACCTCAGAAGGAGACTTTGCTGCGGCGGCTGGAAGAGATTCCTGTGAAGAGTCACGCAGCGGATTTTAATCCCAAAAGCTGTTAGTTTGAGTCCCACATGACACTGCGAGAACAGAAGGCGGAAGCGAAAAAACAAAAACATCGGTCACATGACGGGGATCTGAGTCACGGCTATGACGGACAGGTCCCTTGACCAATGAGCGAGCTCGGAGGGGATGGGTGGGTTCGATGATGGTAAATGAGCCGTTGGTCCGTTTGACAGTTCGGGCCGCGTTCAAATACTGATACACAGCGACCTTATCTGAGTTTGTAAATAGGCTACTTTCAAATAAGGAACCAATGTTTTGATTTATTTACTTACTTCCTTTTTGATTAACATTCATATTCTTAATTTTCCCTGATCTGTTATAGGCCTATCAGTGGTTCTAAACTGGTGGGTTGGAACCCTAGAATGGGACGAGTAGCTATTTTCGACGGTCGCTAGGTGAAAAGGACAAAAAACTTGAGTCAAAAAGTAGGCCTAAATCA